CGCCTAACCAGTCAGGTTCGTCCCTGAAATCAGCAAGAAATTCTTTTATTCTTGTCAATAATGGAAATAGTTTGAATCGGATTGTATTTTTTTTTGATTTTTTTTTTTTTCAATATTACGCGAATAATCTTAAAAAATTATTAAAGAAGAATTCAGCTATATAAATATTCAAAGATCAGTGATCTTTGAATAAATGATGAGAGGATTTTATAATTAATTTTGTTATAACATTTGATTTGCTCGAATTATTCAAGCTACTTGAAATCGACGAGCATTGACAAGTATTAAGATTTTGCATTAATCAATTCGAATGATTAATTGTGTGCGTAAAATTTAGGTATGGAACACAATATAGCGATGGGCTTCCCGTTACCTAGTGCCATTCCTGGATTCCCTGTTGCTTCTTCCGCGGACGAGGTCACTGTACAAGTTCTCGAAGCTCTTGATGAGAACACTGTTCGCCTTGTTTTTACAGTGCCACAAGTTCTAGTTGGGCTTCATGGACGAGTCGAGCTGCGTTACACCAATGACAAAACGTATTTTATATATTTTTTTTTTTATAATTGTTCATGAAATCTCATATATTACTATTTTGAAAATTTTTTATTTTCTTCTTATAATTTATATTTTGCAATAATTTGTAATTAAACTTTTCCATCTTAAAATATCGCATTAAAGAAACGAAAATTAATTAGTTATTTATATTTTTTCTTATAGAAATTTTGATGTATCCACTTGGAAATCGCAAGTGTTCGCTCCTCCAAACGATTTAATCGCGACACCGCAGCTCGAGTTTGAATTGGGCGATTTGAAGCCCTCGACCGAATACAAAGTAAAGATCACGGTAAAACTGAAAGATTTAGCCAATAGTCCTACGAGCAAAATTTATAGTGTGAGAACGTTGGACAAGCGAACTGATGCGACCACCTTGCCACCACAAATACCAATCGACGCTGAACTTCAAATTGCGGAGACGAATACCACATGGATTAACGTAATGTGGAGAAAATTCACAGAGTATGAGTTACAGTTTATCGATGGTGTTCAATTGAGATATAAGGAGCACGACAACAAAGTTTATACCGCTTCACCATTGATTCATAGAGCAGTTAGAAATTATTTAATCGAAAATTTGCAATCATCGACTACCTATGAGATTGGAATCTTCTTTGTTCCATTTCCTGGACAGTTGACAGAATTGATTAGTGAAAAAATGGTAAGTTTCAATAAAACTATTACTAATGATAAAAAATATATCTGATAATATATCTTTTATTTTTATAATTAAATCTGTACTTCTCTAAGATTCAAGCAACTACTTTGATGGAACCAGATCCATATTCGTTCAATGTCAAAGTGGAAATTAAGACGATTAAATCGACTGACGTGGAAGTGACTTGGACTGGTGTGCCTTATCCAGAGGATAAATATGTGAATATTTATAGAGCAATTTACCAAAGTGATAGTGGCAAAGAAGATACAAGTACATTTAAAATCGCCAAAAGAGATTCTCATCCGAAAACCATAATCACTGATCTTAAACCAGGTACTAGGTATCGTTTATGGCTCGAAATTTATTTGACTAATGGAAGAATAAAAAAAAGCAACGTGCAAGATTTCGTTACCAAGCCTGGTGTTCTTTTACCAGCTACGGTGTCGCAACAAGGTACGAAGATAAAAAAAGCAGATGAAACTCTAATAAATGACGAATAAATATACTTAATTGATTTTTAATCAGTTTAAATATTTTATTTTCTTAACAGGAAAACTTGCTTCCTTGCCTTTTCACGAAGGTGATTATTACGGACCTTTGGTTGTAGTGGCCATCGTCGCATCTCTTGCTATTCTGTCAACCTTAATTCTTCTAATGATGCTCATGAAAAGACGTACTAGCAGTAAGGCTGATATATCTTCCCGTAAAAGTACATCAGCATACGACAATCCCTCCTACAAGGTAGAATTACAACAAGAAACTATGGGTAATTCATTCTCATTGTTTTAATGCGATAACCTATTACATGACCATTATTTCTCTCATTCGTGTCATTCGTTATATTGATATATTATACATTTTATAAATGTACAATTGTCGAGTAAATGTATAATTTAAAAATATATTGCGATTTTTCAGACTTGTGAAGATACTATTACGATATCGAATGGTAGAAGTAAAAGCACCGATCACGAAATGGCTACTATCAATAGCAACCTAAAAGAACCTGTTTAAAGTTTTGTAATTTATTATATTACTGTATTTATTTATATATTTTTGTTCGATTTAAATTTCGATTTACATATTGTTATCAAAGGAGATTCTTGATTGAAATTCTTGATCGAATGAAACTTGAAGCACAATGAATTAATGAAATGTATACTTATGATGTATACTTTATATATGCATATTTTGATATTCTACAATATTAAATTGTAGTTTCTTTAATTCAATAATCAATTAATGGAATTGCATTATGTTGTATTAAAAATTGTAAATAGCAATGTTAAGTAATACTATATATCATACTAAATAATAAGATAGTAATTTAAAAATTATAAATATCATTTAGATATATATGAAAGCAAGTTTATTGCAATCTTATAGTATATATTATTAACAATTGCTTTCTATGTATTTAATGTTAAAATTTAAGTCATAATACATATTATATATAATTTTGTTGAGTCTCAATGACCGAATCATGTTTTGTACAGTTTATATTGTTAAAAATATTATATATATATGTAAAACAAATAAGGTCTAATGTCATATAGAAATGTTAAAATATAAAATAAATAAAACTGTTTGTAAATTATGAACAGAAATATTTATTTCTTATATAATCATATATTTCATATATAATCTTTTAACTTTCAATCAAAATTTCATTATATAGAAAATAATTTTAAATTCTTAATTTTAAATTCTGTTCATATAAAGTAAAGAAGACATAACAGCAAAGATATTAAAAATTCATTCTTATAACAATCTTAAAAATAATCTAACAATTAATATATAATAAGAGTATTACAGGTGATTAAAACTGAATCAAGCAAATAAAATATTGTAAATGCAATTAAAAATATTTCTTCAACTCAGATTCCATTTGCAAAGGATCAATAGTTGGTGCAAATCGAGAAACAACTTTTCCTTCTTTATTAATAATAAATTTACTAAAATTCCATTTAATATCATCAGTTATGAATCCATTTGCTTGTGTCTTCAACCATTTCCATAATGGATGTGCATTATCTCCATTAACATTAATTTTTTCAAATAAGTCAAAAGTAACATTATATTTTTTGACAAACTCTAAAATTTCTGTAGAGGTTCCTGGTTCTTGACCGCCAAACTCATTTGATGGAAATGCCAAAATTCTTAAACCTTCCTTTCCATTGTATTTTTCATATAATTGTACAAGTTCTCTGTAATTTGTATCTGTAAGTCCACAATTACTAGCAACATTAACAATTATACAAACGTGTCCACGATATTTATTCAATGACACGTCATTCCCATGAATATCTTTAGCATGAAAATCATAAATGGTAGAAGCTGATTTCCAATTTTTGTCTTGATCTAAAGGTGCTAAAGCACATTCTTCTTTCTTACTATTATCTTCACAATTTTCAGCTATGACTCCACAAAAGAAGAGAACTGTTAAAAATATCAATTCTATAAAAGAAAAAATTATAAATTATAACTTATTAAATATTCATGTATTTATTAAATGATGTAATTACTATTATTTATATATATTTAATAATTACTATTACTATTAAAATATTTCTTTGTAATATTATGATTAATATTTGAAAGAGTTAAAGTCAAAATTGATTTAAAAAATAAAAAAAGAAAGAAAAAAAAGACAAAAGAAAAGCATAAAAAAAAATTAACAAAAAAATTTTTATATTGTTAGCTACCACCAAACAATGCTAATACTATTATAAATTAAATATTTATTATTTAATTGCACATCATAAAATTATGACTAAAAGATTAATTTTCAATATTATTTGTAGTTAAAATATTTATTAAATGTTTATTAAAATATTATTAAAACTACTTACTCTGCATTTTGAATGAATATTATTATCCTGAAATTTTAATCAATAATATTTTTATTAACTTTTTATTGTATTATATATTTATTATAATATTTATTAATGTTTATTATATTATATTATTTAGAAAATATTAAAAAAAAACAAATGAAAATATAATATATTACCTTTTCACTTACGAAGCACAAACGTCTGTACGTTTCAATTCGTCAAACGCAAATACGTTGCTCTTTTCTTTGTCTAGAATTTTTAAGATCGAAACACACTAACCTTTGTCCACTTTTGGCCTTGAATCTATGACATCGAGGATTCTGGAATGCTCACAAAATAAAACAACTAAATTTTATTCTATATTCACATACCACAAAATATATTTACGAAATATACCATCGGTCGACAATGCATGCGGTTTACTGAATTATAGACGAAATACAAAATAATCGAATAATGAGAGAAAGAGAAAGATAGGAAAAAAACATGGGAATTAGCGCCATCTTCAGAGTGTCGTAAATGAAACATAAAAAAGAACAAAAAATATGAAAAAGATAGAATTAGGAATTGATAAGAATTGATCGCCAGTATTATCTTTGAAAGGCAGCATATAGTAAAATTAAAAGAATTGAAAATCAGCGTCATCTCTCGAATGCATTTAAAAATACAATTCTTTGAAATTATATATTTAAAATTTAAAAGATGACGCTAATGATCAATTTTTATCTATTTTTCTTACTATTTTCTTTCTTTTTTTTATATATTTAATTTATTACTCTAGAGATGGCGTTAATTTTCATATTTTTTTCTATCTCTGTCTTTCTTCTACTATTTGTTTTTATTATATAAATTTTATGCGTTTTTATATATATATGATTTAAATATACATATACACACACACACACACATATATATATATATATATAAAAATTACTTATGTCATTCAGTATGAATTTTATTATTCATTTTTGTTGATTCTTATGGACACTACAGAACTTTACATACACGTGATGTTCTCATCATATATAACAACATAACCTTTATAATACAACAAAATCATAACCTATAAATTATGTTATTTATTTATCATAAATTACAAAATAATATAAAATTTGATATTTATAATATATAATACAAACATTTAAATATACATAATATAAATAACATAATAATATTATTTGAAATTGCAAATATTTCATAAATTGTATATATGTGAATATTGAAAAGACAGTGAACATTGTTACATTTTACTGAATATTGTTATTTAGTATTAAATAATTTGTAAAAAAAATGGTAAGCTTTATATATATAAAATTAATTATATTTTTTTATTATATTTATTTGTCTTTTTTAGGCACGAAATGCAGAAAAAGCTATGTAAGTATGTCAAAAAAAAAAATATTTTTTTCAATAAAATTTTTATAAAATACATTTTTTTTTTACATATATATTTAAATATACATCTTTTAACAGGACCACTCTTGCTCGATGGAGAGCTGCACAAAGCAATGAAGGAGCTAGGAAAGAACAAGAAAGAAGACCATATTTAGCATCTGAATGTAGAGATTTGCGAAAAGCAGAAAAATGGAGAATGCAAATAATTAGAGAAATTGCAAAAAAAGTTGCACAAATACAAAATGCAGGTTTAGGAGAATTTCGTATTCGAGATTTAAATGATGAAATCAATAAATTATTACGAGAAAAACGACATTGGGAAGCTCAAATCAAGGAATTAGGTGGGCCTGATTATTCTAGAGTAGGACCGCGTATGTTAGATCATGAAGGTCGTGAGGTATAGTATATTTCTATTTTAATAAATTGAATTTATCTTTGATAAAAACTAACTAATTATAACATTTAGGTACCTGGAAACCGTGGTTACAAATATTTTGGAGCAGCAAAAGAATTACCGGGTGTCAGAGAATTATTTGAGCAAGAACCACCACCTCCGCCCCGTAAAACACGCGCCGAATTAATGAAAGATATTGATGCCGATTATTACGGTTACAGAGATGATGATGATGGAATTTTATTACCTTTAGAACAAAAAGCTGAACAGGAAGCACGAGAAAAAGCAGTACAAGAATGGCTAGCACAAAATAAAAAAGAATCAGAGATTGAAGAAGAAATCGAAACAACTGCTCAAAAAGCAATACCATCGCAACAAGATATTCAGGAAGCATTACTTGCAAGAAAAAAACAAGAACTATTAGAGAAATATGTACTTTGATAGATTTTATTCTTAGTTTTTAATGTATTCAGTAACAACTATTTATAAGTTTATTTGTTTAATTGTATTAGAGTACATTTTTATAAAACGCGACAGATATAATAATAATTATTATTAATTTATAAGTAATAACATTGATTAAGATAATTATTTTGTGCAGTAGACGTTCAAACTTCAATTAATACTTATCGAGATAGAGTGCTGTAGATAAAATATAGATAAAAATTCAACATTAGTCTGTTTATAATCCTCGCGATTCTTGAATTTTTTATTTTTATTTTTTTTTTATTTTTTTTATTTATTTTTTTTTTTTTTTTTTTTTT